AGGAAAATAAGGACCTCACGCCTTGTCCCAAAGAGCCAATGATGAGAACAGGTTGATGTGGGAAAGCAGGAGTTTGATTGAGTATCAAGACCCAAGGACACAGATAGAGTCCCTTCTCTAAAGTGTCTGTCTCCCGAGCAAAGGGGTGAACATGACTCTACAGGGAGATGGAAAGGGGCTGGGAGGTCCTTTGGACGGCCAAGCATGTCTTTGCTCCTCTCTTCCCTGATGACTCCAGACTCAGCGTCCCTCTTCCCAGGGTCATTGCTTCATAGGTTATGGTTCTCAGCCAAAACCAGTCGTCAGAGAGGGTTATGCTTAGAAGAATGCATAACTGAAAATAACAAACTAAAGAAGTCAGCGTCGGTAAAGAGGTTGGCTACTCTGTTTGCTCAAAAGGAAGCAAAAGGCAGGGAGAAATAGCAAGTGAGTCACTCTGATGAGTGTCTCCTTCAATCATGCCTGCTAGTCTGCAAAAGTCCCACCATCTTCAGCGAGGGGCCCTTCAACCTTTCATTTCAGCCGACCACAGTGTCACTAACACAGAGCTGACTCAATGGTATCTAACCACAACGGCAGCCCCCCAAACGGTGAGAAAATAAATTTCTGTTCGATAAAGCCATCCACTTGTGATCTTTCGGTTAGAGCAGCATTAGGAGACACACACACACACGGCACACATTTCTCCCCTCCAAAGCATTGCCCTTCCATCCCCACACTGTTGTCTCCAGGAAGCCGATCTCCTCTGAAAGATAGCGCCTTGGAAACCCAAGGAGGAGTCGCTATGAGTCAGGTCTGACTCGACAGCACATAATAACAACAACAGCAAAGGAAGAGAAGCTGAAAAGAGACAACACCATCCCTCCCCCGAAATGCTCTCAATATAAGAGCATGTGCCCTTATGTTCCCCTCGAGTGGTGCCCTGAATTCAGCCTCCTAAACTGTGAGAAAATGCATTTCTGTTCCTTAAAGCCACCCCCTTTTGATATTTTTATTACAGCAGCACAAGGAGGTAAAAACAGCTCCCATTCCTTTAATAAACAGCAGTAGACTTGAACACCAAGCATTTCTTCATTAATATATTCTCTTCTCTGTTCCCGGGGCTTTGGGGTACCCTGCAACTATCCGCCATACGTAGCTGCTATCCCCGGGTTCTTAGTGTGAGTGGCTTGGGTGTTTCGCAGGACTTTGAAGAGTCAGTTCCTCTCTGTCACTTGTAGTTACTTGAAAGCAGAATAAAAAGTGGATTTTGAAGCCATTCCTGGCTCTGAGTGAAGGTTTGTTCATTCCTTGTTTTTATATTCGAATGATAAAGACATCGTTAACCATTTTCACAGTTGCTTAACTTCACATGTTTTCCAGAAAATCATAGAAAATTCTATTTAAAGAGAATGGATACATGGAGTTGTACCAACAGACACTTAGCAGCTCTTGCTGCTACTGGGGAAACAGTTACCAAAAATCCAAACTCCTTCCAATTTATATTGATTTTACAGGACAGAGTGGAACGGTCCCCAGAGAACCTACCAGGCTGTCAATCTTTAGGGAAGCAAAGCCCCAGCCAAACCCACTGGAAGCAAAGCCCCAACCACACCCACTGCCGTGGAGTCCATTCCGACCCACAGCGCCCCTAGAGGACAGAGTGGAACTGCCCACAGGGTCTTCAGGGCTGTCAATCTTCATGGAAGCTGATTGCCTCATCTTTCTCCTGTGGAGTGGCTGGGGTTAGCACCTCCATGCTTTAACCACTGCACCACCAGAGCTCCTTATGTTGTTGCTAGGCGCCATCAACTCTATTCTGACTCATAGTGACCCCATGTGACAGTCAAACTGCCATCATCTTTATGTGAGCAGATCAACAGGTATTTTTCCCAGGAAACAACTCAGGGATCTGAACCATTAACCTTTCGGTTAGCAGCTGAACACTTAACCACCATCCCACCATGGCTCCGTGTGCCTCACACATGTTCTTGTTTTTGCTGTCAACCCAGCTCCAACTCATAGCGGCCCCGTGCACAACAGACCGAAACCCTGCCCGGTTCTGCACCCGCCTCAAAACCATTGCTACGATTGAGCGCGTCCCTGCAGCCATCTCATTAAAGACCTTGTTTTTGCTGACCGTCCACTTTGCTAACCATAATGTCCTTCTGTAGGGACTGGTCCCTCCTTGCAACATTTTCAAAGTCCATGAGACAGTCTCACCAGCCTTCCTTCAAAGGCGCATGGTGGCTGTACTTCTTCCAAGATAGATGTGTTTGTTTTTCTGGCAGTCCACGGTAAATTCAATATTCTTTGTCAACACCTTAATTCAAAGGCATCCATTCTTCTTCCGGCTTGCACATAGAAACAGCTGAGTAAGTGCCTGGTGGGAAATTGCCTTGGCAGATGCTCAGGGCATGATATCATGTTCAGTGCAGAAGGAACCTCTCCC